CCTGAAAGTTTGCGCTCGGAATAGCCTCTAATAGCATTGTCTAATCTCGTACGTTTGCGTGGCAACGAGGCTAGTCTGGTTATATTTCTTGTTGTAATATTTTTGAGTGATTAACTTAACCTTGATTACTATTAATTTGCGTCGACGAGTTGCTTTGTGGCATTTTAATATCGTGCGAAGGAATTTTGCTTTGTCGTGAGGAACGCTGAACTTTGTGACTCGAGAAGAGATCGCGTTCGAGCTCTTGATTATAATTTGGTGCCAAGTGAACCTGAGACATTGAACTTTGACCAACCGTTCTTAAATTGTGCCGTGTGTCACTTGTTTTAAGCTCGATTAACGTCGATTTGGTTGAATTTGAAGTTAAATGTACAATAAAGTTGATAAACTAATATAGTGAAATAAAAGCAGAAGGTTTCAATTCGTGAACGCCCACTGGAGGGATCGCACATTTTGGAGAAAAGCAGCGCCTGTGGATCTGCTCTCAGATCATCGGTAACGTCAGGTTACATCTACACAATTTCGCACACTACTTACATACACCTCACTTACCACCTGACTGACCCTGTGGTCAACCTTACCTCCGGAACTCGGTAAGTTTTGTTTGCTTAGCAGCCATTAATAATAATCCATAGGCCATTGGGCTCGAACCCTCGGCTGCTCGTCGAGGAGGCTACTGTGGGTCCTAGCTCAGTCGACTTTTGCCGGGACAGCGGAGGGCCGTAACATTTTCTGGTAGCAGAGCATGGTTGATTGTTTTTACAATCACGCCCGGCCGTAATACGTAATAAAAATATTGTTTTTTTCTTTTGTTTGCTTTTTTTGTTTGTTAGCGGATAGGTGGTTAGAACCACGCCGTTAGGCAAGCAGGAGTTTAGTTAGGGTTAGGTACTTACGCGTCAGGTATTTCGGGCAGGTAGATTAAACTGCCGAAGGGTCGGTCTCCTGAGCGAGGCATATTTGTTGACCGACTGTATAATTTGTATATAACTTGATTTAATAGTAATTGTATTTGTTATTTGATAATTTAATTTGTATTTGTGCCGTGTAGTGTAATTTGTATTCAGTAGTGATGCCATCGCATAAGCCACCGGCGCTTCGCCTGCAGCCGGAGCTGCGCTGGGCCGCTAACGCCCATACCTTGATAGGTTGACCCGATCGGGTCCATAGTTTAGGGAAGCGGCTCAGCGGAACAGGGAATCCTAGACTCCTGCCTCGCGGACTACGAACAGTTCTTTTCGCTCACGGACGACTTCGATCACGGATCGAGGCGGGGGCCAAGTATCTAATGAAGCGCGTGAAGCTCGGCTGAGTGGCCTGTCCGAGTTCCCTCGGAAGCAGCCCACCCCGCCGGAGCTGTTGGGACGACTGCCGACTCTGGACCTGCCAAGGTTCTCCGGGGTCCTCTACGACTGGCTGACATTTGTGGGCCTTTTTGATAGCCTAGTGGACGCCCGGAGGGACTTGACACCAAGCCAGAAGATACCGTACCTCCTAGCCTCACTGGAGGGGGAGGCCCTGGGCGTCGTCGGCCATTTGAGATTGTCGGACGACGCCTACCTGACTGCCTGGGACCTCCTCGCCGGAAGATATGCCAACGTCCGGCGAATCGCGGACGATTACGTTAGGCAGCTTCTAAGCCTCCCGCTGCTTAGGGACCGGGCCAGACTACGTCCGGACATCGTGAATCCAGCCGTGGTGGCCTGTAATTCGTTGAGGCGGCTGGATTTACCGGTAGACGAATAGTCCTTCTTGTTGCTCCACATCGTGCTGTCCCGCCTGCCTCTCGACAGTCGGATACATTTTGAGGAGAGGTACGGCGGTGACGGCGCCTCCTATATTCCGCCCTTCAGGGATCTGCTGCGGTTCTTGGAGGAGCAGTGCCGGCAAATTGAGAACGCAGCGGGCAACGTCGACGACTTACGGGTTGCCAACCGAGCCGTGCCCAGGGAGAGGCGGAATCCGCGGGGAAAGTAGGCGCCAACCCCCCTAAGGCCGATCGGAGCTCCCGCTGGAGGGCACCGCCCCCTAACATCTTACAGTGGCCTATCGGCCAGGGAGGCGCCCCCTTGCTCCTATTGTCAAGCATCCGATCACCGGGTAACTTCGTGCCCGAAGTTGTTGGGTAAGCCGGTTCCGGCGAGGCGAAATATCACCAAGGAGCGCCGCTGGTGCTACTCGTGCTTGGAAAGGCACCTCCAACGAGACTGCCCGCACCAGCGGCCCTGTCCGCACTGCCAGGGCAACCACCATGCCGTTTTGTGCCTGGGTGCGAACGGCGTCTCCTCTCGGGGCTCTGCCGAGCCCTCGACCCCCACGGGCGCGGGCGCCCAGCCAAGCCCTCTGTCGGGCGACGCTCGGCGCTCGCCTGCCAGCCACCGTGCCCCTGGGTTTGAAAGGGGTCCCACCCCCGACCAGTCGGGGGGTAGTTCCCCCAGGGGTGGGGGGGTCGTCGCCCCCCCTCAGCGTGTTGAGAGGAACTTCACGGCCACTCAGCGGTCAGCTAGACCATTCTCACCCTCGTTGCACGTTTCTTGTTTACATTGTCTTACATACAGGGTTGGTCGCAGGAAAATAAAATAAGATATGATTTAAATTTATTAATGAATAACTTTTCATGTAATAATAATTTAAACTTGACATTTAATTGTTACAATTATAATGATAGAATTAATTTAATAGATATAAATAATTTAATTAAGAAATTTTTGACTAGAGATAGGTATTAACTATCAAAATATAATTTAAGACAGATAGCAAATGTGCTATCTTATTATTTATATATTAACTCAGCCAAGGACTTGGCTACACAGACATCTGCTTCTTTTGAGCAGTGTAATGACTTAATATGCAATTTGGAATCAGTCCCAAGTAATTTAAATTAGAAAATGAGACAATAGAGGTAATCTCTAGTAGTTATCATAACTTAAATAATTTAGAATGTGGCTTACAAATCTTAAATTGTATGACTCCACAGAAAGATAATGAAAATTGTTTACACCTGGTGCATCAAAATATACAAGGCATGATAGGCAAAGAGCTAGAAATTGAGTTGTTCTTAAATAGCAACAATATTCATATTTTATGTATTACTGAACATTGGTTAAAAGCTTATAATTTAATGTTTAACTTCAGTAATCACCAGGTGGTCAGTTCTTTCAATAGAGATACGGTTTTAAGAGGTGGCTCCTTAATATTAGCTAGTAAATTATTATCATGTAAAGAACGTAAAGACATTGTGAGCCTCTCTGTTGAGCAAACTGTAGAAATGGGATTATTAATGAGAACAGAGAGATTAGATGGAGATGGATTTTTTATAGGATAGGGTGACAAACGAGCACACAGTCCACCTGATGGTAAGTGGTTGCTGTGACCCATAGATATCTACATTTATCCTCAATAAAGAGTCAAAATGCAGATGCGTCGCCACCCGTGAGGACTAAGATGGAATGCCTCTCTTCCAGTAAAAAGGGTCTCCGGTTCTCTACACTGACCATACGAAACACAGCAGCATTAAGCTGCTATTTTACGCTGTTATTCTATGAGAGCGTGGTCCTTCCCCGGTCGAGCCGACCCATTCGTGTCACAACTATATTACCAATATAGCTGCAGCATGGCTCTACCACGTATATGGATGGTGATTATGTGGTCCATTATTCATGGCCTTAGGTCTACATAGGCCTCCCACATAATTGCCTCATAGGGGGATTTTGCCATAGCTGCCACGCCTGGCAGGCAGGTTGGCAAGCGCAGTTTTTTATTATTTTGAGTTGTTATCAGGAAGATGCTACTGCTCATCATCCGTCTAGATTTCTCTCTGTCACTTCTTACGACACCAACTCGATGGAACGGGGATATGAGTATGGGATTAGGTGGTACGCCTTCTATTCTGGATAGCAGTCGTAAGTACCAAAAGGGGAAAAATAAGCACACATTCACTTGATATTTATCCTCGAATGAGAATCAAAATGCTAATGCGTTGTCAACACTGAGGAGTAATACGGAATGCATTATCACCAATAAAACTTCAGTTCCCTACATAAATCATACGAAAACCAGCAACATAACGCTGCTATTTTATGATGGTATTGTGAGAACCTAGTCCTTTCCTGGTTGAGCCTACCCATTCATGCTGCACGAATAGTAGACAGTGGCTCTACTCCGTATATTGTCAATTACTCGTATTATCTTTTTTCTGAAGCTAAGTACCTATGGTTACAATAACACCTGCAGTTTTCTTCATTATCGCCTTTTCCCTTTGCGGGATCGGCTTTTCCAGTCCCGATGCGCTGTTTGCTTGTCCGACAAGCATCGTCAACAGACAGACCTAACAAGCACACCTCGACTGTCCGGCATCATAGTCGTTAGCACTCTGCATATACCTTCCCTTTGTTAGCCTTGTATAAATGTCAATAACATCTGCAGCTATATTATGGTTGTAGCACGAATGGGTCAGCTCGACCGGAGAAAGAACACGCTCTCACAGAATACCAACAACGCGTGACAACGCATCTCCATTTTCATTCTTAATTGAGGATAAATGTAGATTTCTATGGGCCACAGCATCCACTTACTATCAGGTTAACGGCGTGCTCGTTTGTCACTATATTCTATAAAAATGTTTTTGTTAACATGCGCTATTTTATACTAATAACCACATTGTATTACAATCCTTATATTAATATAATCTTTATAATAAATATACATTATTAAAAATGACAATGTATTTATCATGAAGATCATAATATTTTGTTTCTAAGCTGATGATAAGAATATGGATTCTTAAAAGGCCTTACTTCGATTTCGTACCTCGTAAACCATTTTTCTTCGTTGATAATAAGCCTTAAACCACGGGTTATATTACAAATTATGTAAATAATAAACGAATACCTTGGCTGGTTCATCGCACCACAGCTCAATAACCTAACAAAATAAATCCTTTGCTAGCGTTCCCGCCGCGCCGTTCAGTGTAGCCTCGGTCTCAGTTTAGCTCGGCAGCCATGTTGAATTTGAAAACTCTGAATAAAGTGATAAAAATCGCACGAAACATATCTGTACGCTATAATTCATCGAAAAATAAGTGAGTATTTCATCGAATTTTTAGTTTTAAACAGCTTAATTTTATTTACCCTTTCAAGAAATCTTTAATTGTAGATACAATTATACTTCAAAATAGTGTAGGTCTTCTCAATGTTCACTCAAAGTGCCAACAATTAGAGCAATTTCCAGATAATGAACAACTGCAATTCCCCTGGTGTTGCAGTTGTTCATGGGCGGCGGTAGTCCCATACCATCAAATGACCCGCATGCTCGTTTGCCCCATCTCCTATAAAAAAAAACTGCAAAAACATATATGTTTTATTGGTTTGTTATGTTGGTTGTTTCAATTCGCAAATACTGTGAAATTACATAGTTTAGCTTTAGCCACGCTGCAGTTATATTGTGTTTTTTTTAGGATAGGGTGACAAGCGAGCACACAGTTTACCTGATGGTAAGTGGTTGCTGTGGCCCATAGACATCTACATCTATCCTCGTGTAGAATCCTACCTATCTAATAGAATGCATATGCGTTTAAGCCTTGAGGACTAAGATGGAATGCCTCTTTTCCAGTAAAAAGGATCTCCGGTTCTCTACACTCACCTAACGAAACACAGCAGCATTAAGCTGACTTTTACGCTGGTATTCTGTGAGAGTGTGTTCCTTCCCCGGTCGAACCGACCCATTCGTGCTATTTTATGCCGGCTAAATATTATAGAGAGTAAGTATTATTTATTATTACAGGCTGATAGGTATTTCATCTTAGAACTTTAGGTGACAACGCATCTGTAGCTTTCTTTGTTTGAGGTCTGCTGCACGTGTCCATGGACTATAGTAGCCATTTACCTAAGATTGACTTTAAGTTCGTTCTTGACTTCAGTTTCATAAAGAAACCTTATGAAAGATTTATTTATTATTTATGTTCTCACTTTCTTACAAAATTTTAAAATCATTTTTTTTATAGGATAGGGTGACAAACGAGCAAACAGTCCACCTGATGGTAAGTGGTTGTGGTGACCAATAGACATCTGCATTTATCCTCAAAATACAGATGCGTCGTCACCCGTGAGGACTAAGATGGAATGCCTCTTTTCCAGTAACATGGGTCTCCGGTTCTCTACACTCACCATACGAAACACAGCAGTATCAAGCTGCCATTTTACGCTGGTATTCTGTGAGAGCGTGGTCCATTTGTTTACCACCATGGTACCACCACGTATTTTAACATTTCGTTTGGTGATACCTTCATCTAGTCTTTTATTTTACCACTTTTTACTAACCCGCTTTCTTGTCTGTTTAGTAATCCATTTTAAACTAACTTCCCGATGAGATGAGATGTATTTTATGAAAAAGTAGCCAAATTTTAAATTTAAGTACAAATATATAAACAACGATATACCGTTATTGAAGTTTTTGAAAATACGAGTAAATAAGGCTTCAACTTTTATTTGAAATTATCCCAAATTGAATGTGATTTATGGGCAACAACGTTTTCACCTACCGATCGATCCTTACGAATGGGTGTGTGCACAGTAAAAAGTTTAAATAATGCATTACCACGCATTTTGAATTTAAAAGAAAAAAGGACAGAATGTTTGAGATTGATAATAAATTTTTCTTTACCATTTGCCTATATTACTCATTCTGAATTCTTCTGTGCAAATTTGGCCGGTTATTGCAAAATAACCCTGTATAAAACTTTGATTATAGTTTAGGACTAGAAACGTGGTAAAAACTGCATAACGCTGCTGTGTTACGTATGGTGAGTGTAGAGAACCGGAGACCATTTTTACTGGAAACGAGGCATTCCATCTTAGTCCTCACAGCTGACAACGCATCTGCATTTTGATTCTTAATCGAAGATAGATGTAGATGTCTATGGGCCGCAGCAGCCACTTGCCATCGGGTGGACTGTGTGCTCGTTTGTCACCCTTATCCTATAAAAAAATGGTTGCGCTTATGGAATTATAAAAATATTTAAAAACATTATTACAGATGTCTCACAATGACGCAAAAGATGATTTTATACGGTGATGAAGTGGCGCCACCTGTACGCTTTGCTCTGATGACAGCATTCGTTTTGGGCGTTGAGTTCGATTTCCGTAGAATTGACCTTTTCGCTTCTGAAAACAAAACTGAATTATACAAAAAAGTTAGTTGAATTTAAATATGAAACAACAGGAAAGTGATAAACATGTTACTTTATAATATATTATATCTTTGAAAATTATTTATTTTATCATCATCATCAGCCTGCGGTGCTACTCCTGGATATAGACTTCTTTCAGAGCGCTACTTAGTCCGGTCTTTGGATACGTTTGTTTTGTATAAATTGTATCAATGTTATAACTATATAAGTATTATTTACCGTGCAGCGGCGGTGTAAGAATATCGAAAACAAACAAGGAGATGGGCATAACTTAAAAAAATGCGCTTGCAAACCCGCCTGACGAGTAGCGCGGCAATCTTGAAGCAGTGGACTTCGATTGGCTGTAATGATGATGATGATGCTATCTTAGATGCTTTTAACCAAACAAAATAAATCCTTTGCTAGCCTTCCCGTAGCCCGTAGCGTGGTTATTCATAACAAACTAGCTGTTCCCCGCGACTTCGCTCGCGTGTTATTTGGGGTTTTAATTTTTTTTGCGCGGAACCCTAATTCTTTTTCTAAAATAAAAGTAGCCTAAGTTACTCCTTATGAAATCAGCTACCTGCCAGTGAAAGTCCCGTCAAAATCGGTCCAGCCGTTTCGGAGATTAGCCGGAACAAACAAACAGAGAGACAGACAAAAATTTTAAAAATTGTGTTTTTGTTATAAGTACCGTATATACTTTCATATTCAATTAGTAAAAAGCTGTAATTTTGATATTACAAACAGACACTTCAATTTTATTTATTTGTATAGATGTATAGATGATCTGACGGTTGCACTATAAGTAATACTGATATGAAATGTCTAATATTCTTATATTACATGGCAGAAGCCGTATAGTGACGACGTCAGAGAATCCATCTCTTCATTTCATACTGTGGGTGTCAAGATTCGACTATCGGAAATGTCAAAAAGACCTCAAGCTTCCGATATACGTTGGTGTAATGGTGTAATGGGTTACGGAAAGTGTTCATAAAGTTACCAAAAGTCTGATACTGTGATATCCAATCCAACTGCCAAACGTGGTGATTATGCCAAATTCTCCTTACAATAGAAGATACTCAACTCCAGCAGTGGATAATAACTTCTTAAATTTACGCGAACACTACACATAGAATAAAAGTACTTTTACAGATTCCATCGCGTTTAATTAACTTGTTGTTTATTGATTCCCGACATTTCGGGTACTTTACAGCACCCATGGTCACGGGGGACTGAGGTAATTGACGTCCCGATGTCAGAATTAATTCTAATGATGATGATGATGATTCTAATGAATGGTTAATGGATCTACTATAATATTATGTTGACAATTTTTACACTCCGTCATCGCGCGGTAAAATATTTTTTAAGTTCTCTGGTTCTTATATGTTTTCTTTTCTAGATTAACCCACTCCAAAAGGTGCCAGCGTTAGTAATAGGAAACAGAAGCATTTGCGACAGTCACGTTATATCGCTTTACTTTTGCCGAAACTGGGATAAAAATAATACATTATACCCGAAAGACGCTCTGACAAGTGCCAAAGTTGACGAAATATTGTTCTTTAATTCATCTACGCTTTTCCCGATCGACAGCGAAATCTTTGTAAGTAATACTTTTGTTGTATTATACGTTTTATCTACCTACTCTACACTAACACTATTTAAGTGGATGCTGTGGTCCATAGACATCAATAACTTGTTCTATTCTCAATTGAGATGAGACATTTATGCTCGATTAAGAATCAAAATGCAGATGCGTTTTCACGCCAGAGGACTGAGATGGAATGCCTTGTTTCCAGTATAAAGGATTTCTGGTTCTCTACACTTGCCATACAAACACAATACCATTACGTTACTATTTCACGCCGATATTTTGAGGAGAGTGGTCTTACCACATGAGTAAAGAAACCGGTCTTCTCTACCACGTATACACAAGACAATAATTCTTTACTGTTACACTGATTTAATTGATACTAATTATTTACTAATTTTATGTCCTTTTATAATAAAGTACATTGAGAAGTATAATATACATCGTTTAATAATATTATGATTTATGATATGATTGCAGACTACATTTTTTTCTAGTAATCAAATCGATAGTAAGAAAGTCAATGATTGGTTGAAAGCGCTTGATTTATTAGAGAATCGATTGATGGAACATCAATGGCTTGCTGGTGACAGAGTAAGTATATTTGAAATTCTTATATATCATAGAGTAACTAAAAACACTTCATATACACTAAGTTGTGATAATGTAAATAATCCAATACTCTATATCATTCCGTGGGTTTCGCAAGAGTTGACAGAGCAAAATAAAACAGGAGATGAACAGTAGCATCTTTTGGATAACAAAAAGCTAAAAATATGATAATGAAATGCTGTAGGTGTCAACCATGAAGCAAATACAAAGAGGAGACGGCATAAGCAACTGTGCACTGTGATTCTAAGTAGGTCCTGACGTCACCATAGTGGGCGTGGCTTTAGTTAGTATACTGTCAGCATTCGTCCTGTGCGCTTATGTGTTGAAAAAATCGCAGTGTTGTATTTTATCGTGTAAAAACTACTCAGATAGACGCTCTGATGTTATGGATGGCATCACATTTCATTTGTAAGTAATTTTACACCTAATTTATTAAAATAATTCCAGAAAAATCTGTTTGCGTCGGCTTTCAAATATAATTAAATATATTCGACACTAGATGGCAACACTGTGTCAAGTGAACTAAAAATATAAAGGTCCGTAGAGCTCAGTATTGGTAAAATAATCATACGAAGGTGCTGAAATTTATTTTGCATTCAGACAAAGAAATTTTAATCGCAAAATATTATTTTTATAGTTTATAATCATTTTGAGAACAGGCCGTATTCTATCGTCAAGTAAACCTCATAAAAAATAACAAAAAGACAGTTCCGTAATTAGAATTCAATTATTTTACCCAGTAATTCAATTTTCAATATTAAAATGAAGGAAATTGTACTTAGGCTGATTTTTACGAAATGTTTAAGTTATATTTAAGTGACATTCTATATGCAAAGAATCACTTAAATACAATTTAATGTTCTTAGATTGGCATTCAAAAAGTGCATTCGGACGCCTAATTTGGTATAAAATATTTATATTTTAATTGGTTTGTAAATAAAATAATATTAATTATAATAATATGTCTATTATTTGTTCTCCCTCAAAGATATTAAGTAGTATAACCCACACATAAATAATAGTCCAGCCGTTTCTGCGTGAAAAAATTACACACACACAGTATATATTTTATTTAGTGTGGAATAAGCTCAAGGAGACAGAAAGAACACACAAACTTTCGCTTTTATAATATTAGTGAGATAAGTAGGATATTTAGTTCCAAATTAAATATCCTACTTAATATTGAACATAGAATATTTAGTTTCAAAGAGACTTTATTTTAATAAGGAGAAAATAAATATTTCTTGAAGGTTGACTTTCACTAAATGATAAACATATTAAAATTGTATTTAAGTGATTCTTTGCATATAGAATGTCACTTAAATATAACTTAAACATTTATTAAAAATCAGCCAAGTACAATTTCCTTTATTTAATATTGAATGTTGGGTTACTGGGTAAAATAATTGAATTCTAATTACGGCCCTGTCTTTTTGTTATTTTTTATGAGGTTTACTTGACGATAGATGGCGGCCTGTTAATATTATTATGAAAACTATAAAAATAATATTTTGGCGATTAAAATTTCTTTGTCTGAATGTATTTGCTTCATAAGATAGACGCCCCAATGCTATGGATGGCATCACATTTCATTTGTAAGTAATTTTACATCTAATTTATTAAAATAGTTCTAGAAAAATCTTTTTACGTCGGCTCAGTAATGAAAAAATTATCATATGACGGTGCTGAAATTTGTTTTGAATTCAGACATAACGAAATTTTAATCGCCAAAATATTATTTTTGTAGCTTATAACATTTTGTGGACAGGCCGCCATCTACCGTCAAGGTAGCTAAACTATATTGCAACATCGATATGGAACGATTCGAGTAGTTTTACTATTTATCGGTAGATGTAGATAGTGTAAAGTGGGCGGGGCTTTGCATCCCCTCACCCCGCAAATTGTCACGCGTTGTTACATAGTGAAATTTAATTACAACGTCTGCTCTTTGTATTTGCTTCATGGTGTCAACGCGCCTGCTCAGCGTGCATCTGTTTGCGTGGCAATCAATCTACAACTATGTGTAAATATCCTCCTTATAGAGCAGTCTGTAGTGGAGGCCTAAGTTCAGTACCTAAGTAGTGTGAGTGCAGACATCTTCCAACAAGCCACCACGAGTCCTGACAAAAGTTGGAAAATGGAAAGTTGGTCTAATAGGAAGCAGTGAAAAATGCAGAATACTAGAGGCAAATACTATAGATAGAGATAGAGATAGAGAACCTGGAACCTAAATTCAGTGGTGTACTTTTAGTACGTTTTAAACGACTCTGTAGCAATAATGCGTTATAGTTCTCAAATGCTACTCAGTTTTAAGATGCCGTTAAGTACCGATCTGTCTCTACCACTTTATGTCGAAGTGACTGTGACAACACCAGATATAACGACATCTTAAAATTGAGTAGCGTTTGAGTATTTGGCCGCAAATATAAAACTTAGAGTTATAATTAGGATAGGTTTTTCATTCATTCAGTACAGGCCATAGATAGGCATAGACATTAGAATATACTGTACGCCAGTATATTCTATAACGTCTTAAACGTCTTATACACGGTTCATCATGACATACGTCCCGCCAAGGTTCCCCTATATATAATGTACTCTGTGGCCAAGGTCATGCATGATGCACGATGCAAAACGACAATGAGTAGGCTTGACGTACAGCAATGACATACGTCAAGTAACGCACGTTAAGTTCATTGTCGTTTTGCATCGCGCATCGTGCATGACCTTGTTGAGACGTGCGTCAAGATGAACCGTGTATAACCCCCCGTTTATACTCTCGCGCCAGTGGCGAGGCGAGCCACGAGGCGCGAGTGTAAGCGCTAGCTCGTGGCTCGCCTCGCCACTCGCGGCGCTCGCATCGGAGGCGGTTTTTTGGGCACGAGGCAAAGGGCCTCGCGAGGGACGTTAGCGTGGTGTTTACAATCGCGCTCTCGTTTCAGATTTTTTATGGCGCCCTTCCATAATAACATTCGAATTGCTTTTGTTTTAAAATAACAATTTTAATAAAATAATATTATTTAGTCTTGCACAATAGGTACTAGCAATTTATATAAAATTATGAAACTGAAAAGATTCTGTTTCAATGAATAGATGTCATCCACCATATTCTTCCTCAACGACGTATTTTCTTTAATGTCCATCTTTTTAAAATGGTCAAACATCGATAAATACTTATTAAGGCAAGAGTTGATGCCGCTATTATTTCGACGTCTTTTATCGTTGCTGCTTGCTGGCTCATCGCAAACTGAACGCATCGCGAGATTGTAAACAGGCACTCGTTACCTCGCAACAACACGCGAGATACGAGGCGAGGTACGAGGCGAAGCGCGGGGCGAGAGTGTAAACCAGGTTTTATTATTAATGTATTAGACATTTTAGTCTATGATACAGCTATCAAAAGACCACAGCTGAAATGCGTCCTCTATAGATTGCCTAACGGGGGGAATATTTGCCATAGAGCCCACTTTCAATGACATTTCTAATGAAGAAACACTGGAATGAAACAGATCCAAGTCAAGTGTTTCTCGAAACAAAAAATATTTTAGCGACATAAATTATTTTGTTGAGTTTCTATTAAATTTTGTTAATTTACCGTGTTTGTCTTTATCAATATTTATCTTTTACCGACTAAAATTAAGTTTCTAAGGTCATATTGTATATAGGTGAAAACTTTTAAAATACCTTCTGGTTGTTATTCATTTGTTTACTATTAATGTTAGCAAAATAAAAATAGTTGCCATGCTTGGTGGGTTGGCGACTGCTGTAATTATTATTTTCAGTTGTTACCAGTAACAATAATGTTTCATTTTCTCTGTCTATGTTACACCCACCGGATGTAGTACAGTAGTGAGTTCTCTTATGCCGCCACTATATATTACTATCATTATAATATGATAAATCATAATAGTTTATCACTTTCAGAATTGAAACCCAATTACAAATCCACTGCTGAACTTAGGCTTCCCCAACAAACTGTCACAGAACCCGGTCCTGAACCATCTGCATCTACTCGTACCTCTACTATAACCTGTACAACACATTCCAACTATAAATCCGTTGGCGTTTTTTATTTATTTTTCAAAAACGTTACTCCCACACTGATTTTCTGTTGTATTGTGGAGGCAGTTTAAATAAATAAATTTCTAAAGGACAAACATATAGAACAGGAGAAATTATTTGTAGGCGCTACAATATTATGTACAAAAAATACTTTTGCATGCTATGGATAACTGTAGTAAAACATGTTTAATGCAAATAAATATTTATTATTAATAATATTATATAAATACATGTTCCGTGTGGGATTCGAATTTAGATTTATGGAATAATCTTGGATGAGAAGGTGTATTAAAATTTCCGAACGTTGCCCAGCCGATTTGCAAATCTAACTTACCTAGTTATCTCTAAATATAAAAATCAATTGCTGTCCGTCAGTTTCGCTAAAACTTGAAACTGGGTCGACCGATTCTGATGAAATTTTTTGTGTGTATTTGAGTGGGTCCCAGAATGGTCTAAATTTACAATTGGACCCGGTAGATGGAGCTGTTGTCCATCCAGAAATCACCCGTGCGAAGCCCTGCCGAATCGCTAGTCTAATACATCGTTATCAAGCTCGAAATGTCGAGGGTTCGAATTCACCATTCAAATACTGTCAAATACTCACTGTTCAAATACTGTTTTAAGCTTAATTGGAGTGCTTACTCCTTTTTAAAAGGCCGCCAACACACCTGCAATTCCCCTGGTGTTGCAGTTGTTCATGGGCGGCAGTCGCTACCTATTTACCATTAGGTTAACTACAGGCTCCTTTAACCCCTCTTCTAAAAAAAAAAGTGGTTAACCGGGTGTATAGTAGTGATAATAGCGTTACTAGTATTCTTTTATATATTGTATAATGTGGGTCCATATAGGACAATATGATAGTATAAAGGTCAATCATGTAGCCCAAGAGACAGACAACCTATAAAAAAAGTGCAGCGAGGAGCCCCCCTCCCATAAACGTACTCGTTTCAAAGTAATGATTGATCAAGCATGCGTGACCGGTCGTGACATGCCGTGTTCACCTACGTCGTTGCGGGGAGCAGGTTCGAATCCCACACGTAATAAGTATATTTGGACAATTACCAATGTACAATCTTTTTAAAAAGCCCCGCGATACAGGCGATATCCTCTGTGTTAAATAAAAAAACCGAAAGTCGTTAAATGCATGTTGCAATTAAATAGTTCAGGACCGTGCTTCGTGGTAATATAGGAGAGAACTATGTTTAACTTGTTGTTGTATAATATGTTATCGTGATAAAACGACTTAAGTTTAAAATAATAACAGTTATTGTGTTATTTCAGGTAATGTTATGCGATATTTGTGCTATGTCGACGATAACTTCGGTGCAGTGTTTAATTCCTTTAGCAGACCATCACGTAAGGTTGAAACAATGGTTAAATGAAATCGAAAAACTTTCTTTTACCGATATAAACAAAAGAGGTTTGGAACGTTTGAATAAATTTATTGATTTAGCGAAAAAACCGTAGATAGAGGATACTAAGTCTATGGAAAAAACAAAATAAATGCCAGAACACAACTGACAGCGTTTGTCATATGTAGATCAGAGATAATCAATATAACAGAAACAGAAACTTTTTTATTCTATATAGATTACAAATAATACTTATTGAAAGTCACTCTTTTGTTTAATTGCCACTGGTTCGAAAAAAAACCTCTGTCCTAGTAAGAACCCCAGCGGGACTTTTTTTAAAAAAATAACAGCTTACAATCATGTATGTTACACAATTAACAATACGACAAATTAGAAATAGCTTGGTAGCGATCACCTCATTTCCAGGGGTTATTATCATCCATAAATTCTTTAATACTATTATAACATATTATACATATGTCTAGAAACACCTGCTATTTTTTATATCGGGCGTGTCTTCCGAATTCCGATGTATCCATAAGAAAGTTATATATTTCGCAATGCCGAACACTCCGATTTCAAGAGGTAAGCTGTCATGGGGTTGTTGTGATGGAGGATCTGCTCATGATGTATTCCTGCGTTGTACCAATTGTAAAAAAGTTTATCACAAATCTTGTCTAGCCTTACCTGAAAATATGGCATGGCATATGGTTGGAAGTGTCCTTTATGTACAAGTAAGGCTCCGAAATCGGGGAAGGATGACAATACGCCAGTAAGGAACATTACTGTCAGAGGAAATAAAAAACAACCATGTTCCCCCCATGCAAAAGCAGTGATACCCCAGTGACTTCAGAGGAAGTAAAAGAAATAGTGCAGACTGTGATACAGAAGGAAATGGAGAGCCTTTACAATAAAATGAGTAAAAGTATACTAGACACATTGAATAAGCAACTAAAGGATGTAAGTGAAGAATTATCAAAAGTAAAGGAATCTATAGAGTTTATGAATGCTGAATTTGAAGAGTGTAAAATGGAAAGTATAGCTATGAAAAAGAGTTATAAAGAGCTTCAGGATGAAAACTGCAAAGTAAAATCTGCTGTTCAAGAACTAACGATACGTGTCAACCAACTGGAGCAAAGCGCACGATCATCAAATGCAGAAATCCAATGTGTTCCAGAAAGGAAGACGGAAAATGTCTTAAATATTGTTAAGGATATATGTAAGGTCATTAACTGCAACATAAGTGATGATAAAATTGTAAACTGTACTCGCATTGCAAAAATAAATCGGAGCAGCCCCCGTCCACGTTCAATTATTGTTCAGTTTACAACACCTTTCATACGCGATCAGTTCTTGGCTTCAGCGATTAAGTTTAATAAAATAGATGTCTCCAACAAGCTGAATTCAACTCATCTCGGTATTCCCGGAAATAAGATTCCTATTTATATATTGGAGCATTTGTCTCCAGCTAACAAAGCTTTGCATGCAGCCGCCAGGATAAAAGCGAAAGAAAATAACTTTAAATACGTTTGGGTGAGGAATGGACGAATCTACATGAGAAAGGATGACAATTCCAAGTATCACCTCATCAAAAACATGAGTCTCCTGGAAAAATTTGTATAATCTTCTTAGTTATATATAGATCTAAGGATAATGTATGTTGAATATTTTTTAATTTAAAATACAATAATTTACAGTTAAGTATTTACTACCAGAATGTGCGTGGTTTGCGAAAAAAAACTCTAAATTTTTACCGTAAATTGTGCTATTTCGATTACGATATCATCATATTGACTGAAACGTGGTTGAATGATACGATTATTAGTAATGAGCTATTTGGTAACAGATATGTAGTTTATAGAAGGGACAGGGAAACTACCGGTTTTCATTCAAATAAGGATGGTGGAGGAGTATTGATAGCTATATCTAGTAGAATCAAGTCAAAAAGAATGATTATGTGGGAAAGTAAATGTGAAGATCTTTGGGTTACTCTAGATTTGACAGACGTAAAGAACTATTTTCCAATTGCCCTTTGTGCTGTCTATATTCCCCCACCAATTCAGTCTAGAGTATTGGAATGTTTTCTTAGTAACTGTAATTCTTTGTTTGATAAATTGAAACAAAGGACTTGCATAGTTGGTGATTTTAACTTACCTGACGTTAATTGGAAACTCGTCAATGACTTGAATAGCAATTATACTGCTCCCTTTAAGGCTCGAAGTCTTATAGATTTCTGTTATATTAATAAATTACGACAGTACAATTTCGTCGAAAATAAAATGAGGAGAATTCTCGATTTAGTTCTAATAAATAGTTTACATTGCACTGTTAATGAGGCAAACGATATATTGACCATCATAGATCCTTTACATCCTCCGATTGAAATACAACTACTTATATCTGAAACACGAAAACTAAAATACAATTCTAATGTCAAAAAGCGCAATTTCTATAAAGCTGATTATGAAAAAATTCGTGAACACTTAAGTAAAATTAATTGGGATATGCTATTCATGGGGCTAAATGATATAAATAGTATTGTTTCAGTTTTTTACAAAATTGTAAATTTAGCAATAGAAAAATTTGTTCCATGGAGTACGATCAAAAGTGATAAATATCCCATTTGGTTTAGTCGAAGTTTGATTAACGTAATAAAGGAAAAAAATAAGGTGAGGTGTAGACACAAAAAATATAATAACGCAATGGATTTACTCAACCTAAAGTTACTTAATAAGAGATGTGATAAATTAGCTAAGACCTGCTACAACGTTTATATAAAATCTATAGAAGATAATATTGTTACAAATTCAAAAGTTTTTTGGTCTTACATCAAAAATAAACGGCATGGCAATAGTAAGTATCCGAGTGCAATGTCTAATGGTAGTATGATGACAACAGATGCGACTGATATATGCAATCATTTTGCCTCACATTTCTCCTCAGTATACACCGTAGACAATCCAAATGGTCTTAATGAAAATGATTCAAATAACCAATATTTAACATATTTAGATAATAATAATTATCATTTTGGCACTTTGGTTTTGGATGAAAAATCAGTTTTAAAAAAATTAAAGGGCTTAGACCGAAAAAAAGGACCTGGTCCAGACTCTATTTCACCTTATTTCATCGCTGAATGTGCCATAGAACTGTCTACTCCTCTTTGTTTTATATATAACAAATCCTTACAAACAGGATGCTTTCCAGATATATGGAAGCTCGCAAAAGTTGTCCCTATACATAAAGCGGATGATGATACTTTAGTTAGCAATTATAGACCGATCTCAATATTATCAACCTTTCCCAAAATATTTGAATCATTAGTATGTCCCTATATCCAAAATTATACAAAACAGTTTATTACAGATGATCAGCATGGATTTGTCAAATCTCGTTCGACTTGCTCTAATTTAGTTACGTTTGTTGAAACGTTGGTGAAAACTGTAGACATGCAACAGCAAATAGATGTAATATATACCGATTTCAGTAAGGCTTTCGACCGAGTATCACATGTTATGCTTTTAAGAAAGTTAGAAACTTATGGTTTTTCTGACCCTACCTCGCGTGGTTAAGGTCTTATCTAAAAGGTCGAAATTATTTTGTTGTTGTTAATGGATTCAGTTCTGACATATTTCCCATCACATCCGGAGTTCCCCAGGGATCACATTTGGGGCCAATTTTATTTAACATAAGGCGTGATCCATTTCGAGGTTCCCTACTTTTTTAAAGAAAAAAACACAGAAAATTCAAATTTAATGGAGAATGTTTATTATCATTTGAAAGAACATTCTTTGGCATTTATTTTTTTAAGATTATATCTATCAAATGTTGGCTGTTGCTACATCGCAGATGGTCCATCCGTTGAGTCCAATTTTCGATGACTCGTTCGAGCATTTCGACTGGTAACTGGCGAATGACACGCGTGATGTTTTCCTCCAAGGCCTGAATCGAAGCGGGTTTGTCCGCATAAACTTTAGACTTTACATATCCCCACAGGAAAAAGTCTAACGGTGTGATATCATACGATCTTGGTGGCCAATCGACCGGTCCAAAACGTGAAATTATGTGCTCACCGAAATGTTCTCTCAATAAATCCATTGATTGATGCGATGTGTGGGAAGTGGCACCGTCTTGCTGAAACCAAATGGCGCCGAGATCACGAGCTTCAATTTCAGGCATCAAATAGTCGGTTATCATGGCACGATAACGGTCGCCATTGACTGTTACGTTCGCACCGGCATCATTTTTAAAGAAATATGGACCGATGATTCCACCGGCCCACAAACCACACCAAACCGTTGTTTTTTCTGGATGAAGTGGCAGTTCTTGAATCTCTTCAGGTTGCTCTTCGTCCCAAATGCGGCAATTTTGTTTGTTTACATACCCATTGAGCCAGAAATGGGCCTCATCGCTAAACAAAATTTGCCTCGAAAACGTCGGATCTTCTTGGAACTTTTCAAGAGCCCATAGAGCGAAGCGATGTCGCTTGGGAAGGTCGAGCGGTTTCAGTTGTTGCACAAGTTATATTTTGTACGCTTTTAATTTAAGATCTCGACGTAAATGCGCCAAGTCGTTCCATACGTCAGTCCAAGTTGCTGCGAACGGCGCCGAATCGACTCTCCACGGTCTTCTTGTACATTCTCAGCTACGGTCGCTATATTTTCTTCACAGCGTACTGGACGTGATCTATTCGGTGGAATATTATCCAATAATGAATGCTGGGTCTCAAAATGGGTGATGGTGTTGCGAATAGTACGCTCAGTAGGCCGATTATGTTGACCATATGTTGAGCGAAGTGCACGAAACACATTCCTCACAGAACGTGAATTTTCGTAATAAATTTGAACGATTTGTAAACGTTGTTCAGGCGTAAGTCTTTCCATTATGAAATGCCAAACAATACTAAACAAAAATAACATGACAACATGACACGACTCACACGTGATCTGTAAAAAAAAGGCTATTGAAAAAAGTATCTCTACTTGAATCACCCAGTATTTGTTAACGATATTCCTAATTGTTTCTTACATTCCAATTGCTTTATGTATGCTGATGACTTAAAATTTTGTAAAATTGTTAATAAATCGTCAGATATAATACTTCTTCAGGAGGATTTAACTAGACTTTCTAAATGGTGTGATGTTTATGGAATGACTCTTAATCTAAAAAAATGTGCACAAATTAAATTCACTCGCAAAAATAATATTTTCCCATCAGTTTATACCCTCAATGGTGTAGTTATCCAGGAAGTGGAAACAGTTAAGGACCTGGGTGTAGTATTTGATAAAAAGCTTACATTTATACCACAACTAGAAAATGTAATTAAAAGATCATCTCAAGCATTAGGTTTTGTTATAAGAAATAGTAAAGAATTCCGTAATGTTACCACAAAAAAACTTTTATACTTCTCAATTGTTAGAAGTATATTAGAATATTGTAGCACAGTCTGGCGTCCCCATTATTCTACCCATAACCTTCGCCTTGAGCGCGTACAAAAAAGATTTTTATGGCATCTTGCCTTTTCAACACGAAAAGCATATAAAAATGCATCATATGTAGATAGATTAAAGTCATTTAAAATGGTATCACTATCAAAACGCCGGGACATTCTGGATTTGCAACTTTTATATAAAATATTTAGAAATAACTTAGATTGCCCTTTATTACTACGTAAATTTAATTTTCGTATCCCAAGTAGATATCCTCGTAAATTCATTACTCCTCTTTCGCCGCCTCTTCGTAGAACTGTACTAGGATTTAATTCCCCAATATCCAGACTTTCCAGACTTTTAAATACCTATAATAATGTAGTAGATATTCACCACCACTCTTTTAATGATTTTCGGCACAAAATTTATCAAAATATTAATGTTTCTTTGTAAAAAAAAAAAATTTTATTATGTATTAATTTTATAATTTTGTTTATTTTCTTTTATTTTAAGTTTGTATCGTATATTTTTAGCTATTTGGTAACGGCTTGTAGGAGATGCTGTGAACACTAAGCATGCGGTGTTCACCTATTATTGAATGTGCACTTAGTTTATATTACTATATTAGAATTAAGCATATATATCAGTGTAACATTTGTTGGTGAACCAAATAAATAAATAAAAATAAATAAAAAATAAAAAATAACCCTTTTTGTACAAACTTAGTTTAATAAAGTTTTTGAATTATGAGCAGGTCAAATTTTGTATGTTTTCTGGAATTTTGTTGTAAAAGCGTATACATCGCACCAAGAATGAATTACTGACTCGATGGAGTCGAGTAACTGGTACTGGTAGTTAATATTGATGCAGAAACTATTGTAGTGGAAATAAACATTGATCTACTTTTCTGTAAGCTTTGATCTGTTTATTACGTTGGATCCAAAGGTATAATTCAAAAAAGACAGAAGCTATCCATCCATCCATCAGTAGTGTAGTGTAGTTGTACCACTTCTAGACCACCTGAGTCAGACGTGGTTCAACGACGTTCGTCGACACCCGATCCTAAAAAAAAAAAAAATGCTCTGATCACGAATCCGCGGTCCATTTTTGTGTAGAATGCACGGTTCCGGAGATGTGTAGATCAATTAGCTAATATCTAATTGATATCCGGTAAGGGCCTCCACCGTCATTAACGTCCCATTGTTCCTATTTCTATTGTTCTATTGTTCATTAATCACCTTCATTGCAGCGTGTGCGTCGACTATATCAGTGCTATTGTATTATATTTCTTTGTTCCTAATTATACAACGCTAATCTGAATCATCAATAAAACACATTACATAATTTTGTTACAATTTTTATTTATAAAATACAAAATCTTATTACTTATTATCTATAAAATAGGAGCGAAACATCTCATCCACTAAAATATCGTTGTACAATGTGTTCCTTGTAAATATACTCGTAAAACTATGTATTGAACATCCTTGAAACTTATATAGCAAATACATTAAGCAATATTCGCCACAAACTGAAGTCCACTCATTCTGAATCCTATCAACATTCCAGTTCCATCTTTTACAATTCCTTTTTAAAAACTCTAGATGATATCGTACAGGTGATCGTCCATATGAATCAAAATATTGACCGACGTCATTCGTATCGATATATAAAGCTACCCAATGTGACCCTGGTTTATCATCTGTATCCAAATTACATATTATATACGTTGGTACGTGGGTATACATAGGCAGTCTATTAGCTGCATAAACATTATTTTCTAGACTGGGGTGAATCTTTTTCAGATGTTGTTGTACATCTAGTGTATCCATGATATTACTGCTATTAGTACATTATTACAGTACCAATCTACTCAATGAATAACATAGGAATGGTCAATTATAGTGATTTCTAAATATTAAATTGCATTTTTGTGTTATACAAATCGTACTTGAGTCATTGATCACCAAACAAAACACAATACGAAGAAATGTTGAGATAGACAACGGAAATGTGAGATAAACTGGTTGACGCATAAAGTAATTATCAACTCATTACGGAAACACTTTAGATTAGAATTTTTACGTACTGGTGGTATATAAGACCAACAGACGCAGTCATCGAGTTAGTGTACGGTCGTTTGACTACAGTGGATCTATCAATAGTACATTTGTGTTACTTCAATACACCAAAGGCTATGGATGTAAGTGTTTATTCTATTGACTAAATTACTTTTTTTCTGTTATTTTCATGTGTGTGTATTATTTTATTTAAATATTGTGTATGTATATGATTAAGCCGTGGTAACTCAGATGGTTAGCGCTAGCTGCAAATTTCACAGTACGCGACCCGGGTTCGATCCCCGCCAGCACCAATTAAATTGTTAATCGCAATTTTAAGTGCTTATTACCACGTGCTTGGTGGTGAAGGAAAACATCGTGAGGAAACCTGCATGTCTGAGAAAATTTCGAAGGCATGTGAAGTTCGCCAACACACATTGAGGGAGCGCGGCGGACATTTCCTTGCTCTAAAACCCTCTCAGAAATGAGAGGAGGCCTATGTTCAGCAGTGGACTTTAATAGGCTGTAACTTTAACTTTTTTAACTTTTATGATTAAGTGTTAACAAATTGATATTAACATGATAACTGTGTTGTTGCAAAAATCATTGAGCTTCGATGAAGATACCTATAAACAGTATTACTACTCGCCACTCTCCCCTCAAGAAGAGAGTGATAACCTCGTCATTAATAATAACACATGCGATGGTGGAAAAAGAAAATCGCAATCGATTGATCATTTTTTTGAAGCTGAATCAAAAATAAAAAAGAGGAAAGGAAAACTTCAGTGAAGTGTGCACCAGTGCTTTTTTCTCCACAATCATGGAAGAGAATACGGAACTATTCAATAGCGAATTAAATCAGGAGTTGTCTAAAGTTTGTGAAGAAATGGAGAGGGGTCAACTGTTCGATTCGTCATACGATGATGAGTTGTATCATCACTGTGCGATGGTTGAAACACAGTTTAAGTATGTAAAATAAACATTCATTTCGATCATAATTTACATATTGTCTTATACAGTTTTTAATAAATTTAAACATTTTAGCAGACAACCACTACAACTTGGAAGAGGAACGAAGCGAACGTGCAGCAAAGAATCCAAGATCATCAAAAAACCAACAACGGAAGCAGAAGCGCATACCTCTGCAGGGAACAGTATCAGTAACGATGATCAAGTGGAATGTCCAACGTGCCATATATTTATCAAGAAACGGTATTTAGCTAATCATTTTAAAAGTAATGTTCATAAAAATAATCTTTTAAATTCACATAATTCTTTATCAAACGTTAGTGTTATTGAATCTGCTTTTGGAAATAGGATTTTAACTTATAAAATCAAGAGTAGAGTAGATCGTTCGACATGGGTAAATTTTGAAACTCCTGAACTATTTTTAAATTCTATTAAAGATGATATTTTATTTTTATTACAGGAGTGTATTCATCAACACATAATTTTTAAGGTAAACTTCATATTGCATGCTGATTTTGATCAACAAACTAAAGATATTCATGATACGTTCGATTTTCAAACGCTTAACTATATTATTTGTCAAGGAGATGACTTAAATATTTTTCTTTCATCTTTAAATGATACAATTACTACTAAAATTAGTGCTTTCGAAAAAAAAGATAGTGGATGGAGTCTAAAAAACATAAAATCTATAGACATGAATGTTAATAAATTTAACCCCCTACGCGGTACTTCATACATAGATCTTCCTCGTGACATAAAATTAAAAAAGGCTGTTATAAATGTAAAAAACAAGGATTATTTTTGTTTTAAATGAGCGTTACTCTCGGCGTTATATCCTGTAAACAAACACACCGATCGAGTATCATCGTACGTTAAACATGCAAATAAACTTAAATTTGATGGTATTTCCTTTCCGGTTAAAATTTCTGACATAGCAAAAGTAGAGAAATTAAATGAT